AATGATTTCCCGTTTTTCGACAATCTTTGAGTCTCATGACAAAGAATATTTAATGTTACGTTGCTCTAATCAATTCATGTTAAGCAAAATACCCTAATAATGGTAGTTGGAAAACAATCCACAAGTACAATGATTCATAATTGATTGGCAACAAGAATGACAAGCATGAACATTAAGGAACAAAATTTCGTGTGAGGTGTAAACATGATTGATGTCAACACACATGCAGTGCATTAAGCACCTTTTTGGTACTCTTCCTTTGTCGAACTCCCGACGAGGGGCAAAGTTAAGATTTCAACTTTATAGGTTTTAAATTTTAGAATGTAATTTAAGTGCTAATAATTATTGGGTTTTAAATATAAAGTATGTACATGTATATTTGATGAATTATTTTTAATATAAATGTATGACCCAAACTTTAGATCTAGATTTATACAATCAAATTTTATAATAAAGTAGGGTTAATCTTAGCTAATATTAATATCCAAAAGATAGATCAAATATTTTTATAGTAAGATCTCATGTGTGCTATTGAGTAGCATTATGTGACAACAATAATGATATGATAAATGATTCAAGAATATGGAAGATATCAATTAATAACTATAAATGACATTTAAGTAAATAAATGAGCGGAGGTCACCCGAAGAAGGTGAAATTCCCCAATAATTCTTCTGACAAGGATAGATAATGATAAGACTTTGAATATTCAGATCCTCCTTAGATCGCGGGAGAAAGAGTAGATAAAGATATGAGAAAAATGTGAGCTTTGTGTGTATATGATAAAGGAAGAATCTTCAGAAAATGTTAATGTGTTGTTTTTTTTACAATGAATGTTCTCCCCCCTCAATAACTACATATCTTTCTATTTATAAGAGTACATGCGCCACAAAATCCTAAAAATAGTACAACAAGGAGAAATATTCACTAGAATATTCTCTGGGAAATCATAATCACAGAACTAGCTGTTACTATTTTAATAAAGGGAGTGATGGTACTCGTCTTCGTCTTCTGTTGAGGCACCTTGACCTCGTCGATGACATGTTTTCTCATGACATCGACCCTTTGAAGCCAAATCATTATATCCTGTTAACGACACGTGACAGAAGACTTTCTTAATGTCGACTTGGTCCACATATAATTATGCTAATTTTAGCCCATACAATAAAGACATTATTTCAGCAAAAATTAATGGATTTGACCGAACCCGTTCTTGAATAAATGATGTCGCGCGCTGCCTCTCCATGGTTGTGCAATAGACATACAAGTCACTCCACTTCCAAGATTTTGAATTGTAATCTTATTTCATGATTAATTTGACCGACCAGATGTAAGTATAATAATTAGTGGATGATTAACAAAGGATTTGTAAACCTTATTCAGCATGTCTACTCAAGAAAAGCAACATGCCTCACTTGTAAACCCTCTTAACGTTTTGATGATTAAGAGTCTCATGGATAATCATCATTCAATTGACTCACCATGACCAAGAAATTAAGTTAATTAAGTGGCCGGTAATATATTAATTCTTTTAATTAATTTGCAAGCTCTTAATCTAACAGTTATAAAAGTGGTTATGAGTGGAACACACGATATACAAGGATCAATGCTAATTTTACGCCAGATCGCTTACATATAAAGCATCAACTTAGTGGTAACAATATCTTAATTAATTAGGATTAATATGAAAAGAAGCAGTAAATATCCCATAATTACCACTAGAGAAACTTACCACGCGTGCGCATAATGGCCTTTGACCTAAATAAAAGTAACCTTAATATTTTGATTTGAGTTGACAATCTTGGGCGTTTTACTTTGATTAGACATAATTTGCCGAAAGCATTTGGGGAATTAATTAATCACCATATATTATGATCAGTTCTTGTTAAATAATGAATATAGTACCGTCGTTTGAAATAATAAAATGAATCTAATCATCACAAAAATTAGGTGGGGTCACGTGAAAAAGGAAAAGGTACAAAGAAGTAAAGTAACACCCCTTCGGGGCACACAAATACAAAGAATAAGGTCATGAAAGTTTTAGTAATATTATAGTATCATACATACATGCTCTCAACCGAATTACGTTTTTTTTTTCCAATAATTGCTGGGGTGGTAGAATGAAATTAAAGATTGTTCAACATCGAGTTTGAAACCTCTATAGACGATTAATGGAAGTGGATTATTCTTTTCAGAAGGAAAGATAATAGAAAAAAGAGTACTTAGAACAACGTAACGTCCCATATCGATCTCATCTTGTAGTTGCTACTGCACTGTTACGTTCGAATAAAATAAAATAAACTGTACTGATGGATTAATTGCAATATCATGTTTGGAGTACAAGCAACTTCATTGCGAAGCTACAAACCCCATTAATAAATTTTTAAAGTCCTAAAGTAAAGATTCAAGGCGGCGAAAAGGTAAGAATCTAGCTATAGTTCCTAGTTTTCGCACTTTTGGCTATCTGAAAAATACTTTGGTAGCTATTTGAAGTAATAAGAAGATACCTTTATTATAGAAGAAATTTTAAAAAAACTCAGAATATGTTAATCATTTGTTGACTTACACCCTTTCTGTGGCCCAAATCCCCCTTACACACTTTCAATGGACGATAATAACCTTACACAAGAAACCTTTTTAAAGTGTATCTAGTACCCACCTCCTTTGACCAGATCCTATTAATAAGACATCCGTGTATGTCACGCGTTTGACTTTACATAATTGTAACCGATTACCTTATAATAACTAACCCGACCCTACCCGACCCTAACTGACCTTACCCGACCCACAAGGTAAAAGCGTTAAAATCAAACTTACCCAAGTCAGTACTCAAAATCCGATACATCTAGGAGGAGCTACTGTAAAGGCGATTCCGGCGACCATCTCAAGCTACGCTTTCATCGTGGATTTCCGGTGGATTTATGCGGTTAATAGGTTAGTAATTTTCTTCTCCTTGCATTACCCGTTTATTTTAGTAGTGGGTGGGTTGAACCTAGGTTTTTTTTTGAAATTTCTTCTATTTTGCTTAGGGTTATCGGAATTTTTAAAAGGGGAATCTTTTGTCATTATCGATATCACTGTGAAGTTGTCGTCTTGTTGCCTTTACAGATAGTTTTTTTATAAAAGAGATTTGTCTTGTGTTTGCAAACCGTGTGTAAAGTTAGGGTTTAACTGATTATTGTAATACCATTGCTTTGAACAATGTGATATGTTCTTGTCTTTGTCTCCACTTTTATATTTCATTTGTAGTTCTTTATTTTCAATTATTGCATGTGGAAAGTCCATTTATTTGTCCCTTATTTATTTGCAAATAATGTCTTTTAAAATCATTACCCTCGGGTGGTACCATGATGGGGTATTAGTTCCTGGTAACTTTGCTCGTTATGTGGGTGGTAGTCAAATATTAACTTTAGATGTAGATGTGAATTTACTGTCTTTTATTGAACTAATGAACTACACTAGGATATATGACTTTCAAAATGTGGCTGAGCTGTATATTTGTCCAATGGATAGGACAGATAAATTGGTAAATATTCTAACAGACAAGGATATTTTAGACATTTGTAATGAATTGAAAGATGGGGATACCTTAGATATTTTTGTAACTCATGCTGCCCCTTTATGTGTTGTTGACATAAATGAGGCTAGTAAAGGGGTTGGTGGGTGTAATAGTGGAGCTTTTAAGAGCACAAATGTCTTAGAAGAAGAGAAAGATAGTGAATCTGAATCTGAATCTGCACCTGCTCATGAACCTACCCCTTCCCCTTCTCCTTCTCCTGAACCTACTCCTGCTCCTACCCCTGCACCTTCAAGAGAACAAGAGAGTGGAGTAGATAGTGAATCAGACTTTGATAATAGTGAAGGTGAGGATGACAATGAGAATGATTCAGACTTTGACAATAGTGATAGTGATGAGAGTGATGGAGTAGATTTACATGTTCCTGATGATAAGGATTATGAATCTGATGTTCATGAAGAATTTGTAGAGTGTAGGGATGAACTGAGGAAGTATAGGAGGAAAAGGAGTGAAAGGCCAAAAGACAGAGGTGATATTAACCTAGGTGATGCATGAGTTGATATTGGTTTTGATGAATTAAGAACTGGTAGCAAGCAAGATAGGTACACAGGCTTAGTAGGGACAGATGAGCCTTACTTTGGGTCTTCAGATGCTGAAAGTTTTCCTTCAGATGCTGAAGATGAATTTGATGAAGAACATAAGGAGAAAATGGCTGCCAAGAGGAGGAAGAAAGCCCTGATATTTGATCCAACTGTCAAGAAAATAACCTGGGAGTTGGGGCTAATTTTTTAGAGTGTTGAACAATTTAGGTTTGCTGTTAGTAAGTATGCAATTCAGAAAGGAGTTCAAATTGAAAAGTATATTAATGAACCTGGCAGGGTGAGGGTAAGATGCATGCATCCAAAATGTCCATGGATCTTGGCTGCAAGCAAAGATGGCAGATCGAACAATTTTAAGGTAAAAAGGTATTGTCATGTCCACAAGTGTTACAAAACAAATAAAAACAAGCTTTGCAACTCCAGATACCTAGCAAAGCATTATAGGGATAAGATTGTGTGTCAACCAAAAATGAAAGTTTGGGAGCTAAAGAAACTCATTAAGGATGAACTGAACATGTATATTGGTAGGTCTACTGTACATAGAGCTAGAGCAAAAATTCTAAAGGAGATAATAGGTGATGTGCATGCTGAGTTCAAGAGACTCTATGATTATAGAGATATTCTGTTACAAACAAATCCAGGTACAACTTGTGTTGTGAAGGTAGAAGATCAAGGTGAAGGCAAGCTTGTCTTCAATTCATTTTATGTTTGCTTCTATGCTATGAAGAAGGGATGGTCTGAAGGTTGCAGAAGGATAATTGGCATTGATGGTTGTTTTCTGAAAGGCATTTGTAAGGGTCAACTTCTTGTAGCAGTATCAAAGGATGGAAATAATCAGATGTTTCCTATAGCTTGAGCCATTGTAGAGGTTGAGAATAGTTTCACTTGGACATGGTTTTTGAAGTGTGTGACTCATGACTTAGAGCTTCAAGATGGAAGGGATCTTACTATCATGTCTGATATGCAAAAGGTGAATATATTCTTCTGTTTCTGTTTTCTGTCAATATTTATTTTTTCTAATTTCTGTTTCTGTTGGCAACTAATTCAATTCTTTTTATGTTTAAGGGATTGCTTAAAGCTGTATCAGAAGTGTTGCCTGAAAGTGAACATAGGTGGTGTTCCAGACATATATTAGCAAACTGGTCCAAAGATTGGAGAGGATTAGAGAGGAGAAACAACTTCTGGAGGTGTGCTAGAGCATCATGTGTGGCAGAACTGAATTTTCACCTGGACAGTTTGAATATGCTTGGGAATGGGATATGTGAGAGCCTCTTGAGGTATAACAAGGAAACCTGGTGTAGAGCATACTTCAACTGTGACAGGAAATGTGATATAATTGACAACAATATGTGCGAGACATTTAATGCTTGGATACTTGCTGATCGGCACAAGACAATTATCACAATGTTGGAGGAAATTAGAGTGAAGATGATGGAGAGAATAGGAAAGTTGAGGGAGTTTGCAGATACATGGATATGTGATATATCTCCAATTGCTATGAAGGTGTATCAAGATAACATGGCACAATCTATGAGGTGTACAATCAAGTGGAATGGTGAATATAGCTATGAGGTTGAGGATACCTCATTAAGAGTGGTGCTGAAGCATTGTGTGAATATGCAAGCTCAAACTTGTACATGCAGGTCATGGATGCTGAAGGGTATCCCTTGTGCTCATGCCATTGCTGCTATGCATTTCAAGAACCTTGACCCAATTAACTACATATCTCACTGGTACCACAAATCCACCTATCTGAAGGCATATTCAACATTCATCCAGCCTGTGTCAAACATGCAGATGTGGCCAACATCTACCAATCCACCAATTGAACCCCCACCAATTAAAAAGATGCCTGGTAGACCAAAGAAGAAGAGAAGAAGAGAAGAAACTGAACATCCTACTTCTGGAAAGCTTTCAAGAAGGGGTATGGAGATGACATGTTCAAACTGTGGTGGATATGGACACAACAAGAGGAGTTGCCCTAAGAAAGCAAGGCCTACAGATTCTACTCCAGTAAATGCTTCATATATCCAAAGATGTGGAGGAAGAGGTAGAGCAAGAGGAACAGGAACTCCAACTACTTCTGCCCCTGCTGCTGCTGGTAGAGGAAGAGGAACTGGTAGTGGTAGGGGAAGTTCTGGGTTTGGACTATTTCAATCAAGCAGTGGGTTCACAAGTTTTTCTGTAAGTAGTTCAAAGTTAATTTTATATCTTGTTTACTTTAACAACTTTACTGAATATTTTCTATTTTTGGTAGTCTGGTGGAGGTAAGCCAAGAGTGGTCTCTCATGGTGGTGAAAAGAGGTCCTCGACAGATATTCTGGAGTGTGCATACAAGCCAAGAAGTGGTGTAAAATGGAATGGTAGACCAGCCATTACTAGAAGACAACTTGAAAGAACCGCTGCAACTCGTTCCAGAACTGTCACATCTCAATCCAATTTAAGTCAAGCAAGTTCATCATCCCAGCAATCCCAGAACAACCACTGAATTCTGTTATTGTCACTATTAATTTATTTTGGAACTGTTGTAATTTCCCTTTGGAACTGTAATTTATTTTGGAACTGCTGTTAGGTTAATTTGGAACTGCTATTTAGGTTTGTTGTTAGTGTTGTTATTTTGTTAAGGCAGCCTGCTGTTATTTTGGTATGCTGTAAAACTGGGCAGCGTATATTTTTGTTAAGGCAGGCTGCTGCTATTAGGTGATTGTAATAAACACCTTTATTCTATGATGAAATATATTTTTAGTGTTGTTTGATAATTTCTGGGCAGATGTGTCTTTAGTGTTGTATGAATGCTGTTATTTTGGTATGTTGTTAAGCATTTGTGCTGTCATTTTTGTATGCTGTTATTTCTGGAAAATTTCAGCATTTGAGTTGTATATCATCCGCTAATTGATTGTGTTTCAGTATTTTATCAGTCACAATTTGAGGTGTGTTTTAACTGTACTATCAGCTCACACAACAACAAAGTCAAACGAAACAACATTAACAATTGCCAAAAAAATCATTCTAACTCACACAACAACAAACTCAAACAAAACAACATTAACAATTGCCAACAGATTTCATTCATTTCTAACAAAGGGATACAAAATCTACCAAAAAACTTCATTCATTTTCTTAGACTATATAACAATCTTTAGAACTACCTAACACAATCAACTTCAACACAATTGCAATTAAAATCAGCACACACAATCTCCTCCAATTTCTTTGGTTTCTATTTTCCTTCAACAATGCATCAAATGCCCTCTTCTTCTTCAGCAGCCCCAAAATCACCATTTTCAAGTGCTCTGGAGTTGGGGGGTCAAACCACATAAAGAAATTACATGCCGATCATCTGTCCCTCTGAAAAATTGAAGAGACAAAATTATTACGGAATATAAAATCGATTAAAAAAGTACAATTGATATTTACCTTATAAAATGGACCGTAAAATTGACGACCCGGATTATCAACACTCCATGACTGTATCACCACAACTTCTTCACCACAATAGCAAAATTTTCTCAGATTATGCATTTTCCCAAATCTTAAAATTGAGCCCTAGAAATTTAACCCTTATGTCAAAAAAGAGAAGGAAGAATAGAAGAAGACTGTAATATTGGCTTCGAGCTTCAAGAAGAGGAATAAATTTTGGCTTCAAGAAGATAAAATTTTCTTCAATTTAAAGCTTTCAAGGAGGAAGAAGAAGATGAAAATCGGGTTAGTATATAGATAGAAATGGGTTAAGGCCCTTTTAATCTTTTAAAAAGGGTCATTGGAATGTGTTTTTGACCGTTTATTAAAGACAAAAATTGTCTTGAAATAGTGTCCACGCGCTTGGTCCAGTTTGTATTACACACGCTTAGACCTGGTCAAAGAAGGTGTGTACTAGGCACACTTTAGAAAGGTTGCGTGTGTAAGGTTATTATGGTCCACAGAAAGTGTGTAAGCGGGATTTGGGCTATAGTTCGGGTGCCAACTTATATAATTTCCCTATAAACTATGAACAAAAGAAGACTTCAATTTATGTATATGTAGTACTATAAACTAAAGTCTGAAGTGTACGTTGCTAGTAATAAATTCGCACGCAAAGATTTAAGGTGTCATCTTGCTCTCAATTTCCATCAACAAAAGTAACTGATAACGCCCAACTATGCCTTTTAAAGGACAAAGTGATCGCTGCAAATATAATCCGGTTTTAAGTTCGGAATCGAATCCTTAGGGAACTAACCTATCTATTACACTCTACGACAATGTTATTATCAACTCAATCAATCTCTAGATGCAAGATTTTTTATCAATAAAGATTGGGTTTTTATTTAACTACTTTAATTACTATTAAAAACAACAGTAAGCTAAAACAAAGATAATTCAATGGTAAAAAGGTCTAGGGCAATGATTTCCCCAATTGCTAGTTTAGGTCTCGACTCTTCCGCTATAATCTCACCATAGTACTCTATGAGGATTAAGAGTTATAGGTTATTGTAATTATCTCTCGATCAACTATAATAATTTACTAGAGCATTCTCTCGAACTACTCTAGCTGACAATATGTGTGCAACTCTAAATTATCCCACCAAAGATCCGTTATCTCTAAACCCACTTTTAAGTTCAAGTAATGAATCTCTTCAATTACCCAAAAAAGTGGTGTTGTTCAACAGCTGTCTAACCTAATACTCTTTCTCAAGCAATATAAGGTAATTAAACACGATTAATCAAGGGCTCATTCAATTAATCACCATACAAAACGTAATTGAACAATCATATCATAAATCCGGCTCGATTATAACAACTTGAGTCAAAACTTCAACTAATAATTGGTTCCATCAACCCTAGATAAGTATTTAGCTACTTATAACAAAATAAGAGAGAACTACTAAATTGTTCATAATATAAAATTGCAAGAATTAAAAGGAGATAGAAAAACTCTAATGTTTGGTTTATCTTCTCACTCTTGTTCTTGCCTCCAAAAGTAGTCTAAAATCAACTTAGCACCATCTTGCGCGAGTTTCTAAAGCATATAAGGGTTTTACAAAAGTTTCCCCGATTTTACACTTTGGTTCTCAAACTTTCCAGCAGCGTGAACAGTGCACCACGGTCACGGCCAACCGCGGTCGACCGCGGTGAATGCTGACCTTTCTGCCTTACGTTGTTAATCTACCGTGGTTCACCGCGGTCGCAGTGGGCTTCTTGCCCAGGCCATTTATATTTCTTTGTGTTCAGGTACTTCTCGAGTGGGCATTTTTCTTCACATTATCGCCTCCAAAACACTCCATGTTGCTTCCTCTCATATAATATTCACTACTAAACAAAAGAACACTATTTAGAGCATTTTGTTGGCAATTTATCTATAAAACAACAACAAAGTATGGTCATATTAAGGTGTAAATATCAACTATATAGCCTACTATCAACACCCCACACTTAAATAATTGATAGTCCTCGAGCAATCCACCACACTCCATCAAAATTCCTTCCCTAAGCTTTTCCCTTACGATTCACACCATGAACATTTTACAAAAGTTGTACCTAGTATTGAACAACCTTTACCTCAAGAGTCAAACCTTTTATGCCATGTAACATCAGCACTTACTCAAATCACTCTATATAAGAGTCAAGACTTACCTTTCCTTCGTGAATCACATGCCCTCACATCACACAAGAGAGTAGTT